CCGGGTTAAATTGTCTCTGGGCAAGAATGCTAGGGAATTTGGAAAATCTCAAATTTCCCCCATTTTATTGTCACAATTAAAAATAAAATAACCCCAGTCATATCAGTCATCAATACCAGTCATCCACTTTATACTTTAAGTAGTTTTTCCTGTTTTTTACAATTTCCTCTATCATATCCAAATTTTAGCAATGCTACAAGTTAAAAGAGAGTTTATCATTGCTTCTTACGCTTATTTCACTGAAATATGCAGCATAAACAGTTGACAAAATTTACCTACTTCTAAATTTAGACACTGCAAGTACTTAGCGGATGTAGTGACTTAAACGCTTTTTATAGTACAATTTATTCTATTTTGTCTTTAAAATTATTATTTGCAAGCCTCATTTTATCCCTGGTTTTCGACTTTTTCGTCAGGAGAAACCACCCCACTGCTATCGTACGACAGGCTCAGTACTGATCAAATTACAAAAGTAGAAACTTGTAATTTGATGCTTCTCTTTGTTATATTTATATACTTGTTAAACTATCGGGTCGTATTACAAATCAAACTTCAAATGAACAATAAAAAGCGTCACTGATTTGGTAGTTTCACTGATCACTGAAATCTACTTGCAAGAAAGTTCAATAGCATGGCCATGTCAGGAATATTTCGTTCACTGTGATTTAAACTGAAAGCGTGTTACTAAAATTTGCACTTCCGGTCCTCTGGACGGATTCCGCTGTATTCAACGGAATTCTAAGGAACGAGTGGACTCAACCGATTTCTTTCAACTGAATTTTCTTTCAAGTTAAGTTTATTAACCTTGCTAAAATATCGGGAGAATTGTGGAATGTATAGCTTGTGAATTTGTTGTGGGAATAAAATATTGTTCTCATTAACTTTCAATTAACGTGGATTGTAAAACTGCAAGGAAAGCAAAAACTTAAAAAGGCTTTCCGCGTGAGTTTTGTAACATTCCTGCTTGCTTTTAGTTGCTCATTTTTGAGTGTTGTCACTGTTACGTTTTTTAATAATATTAGTTTTTCTGACGAGACTTTTAACCAGCCACATGTGGTTAGTTTCAAACATCAGCCGACACAAAAATAAGAACACGTAGATAAAATCAAAGGATATTGAAGTGAACAGTAAACGTGTCGTTCTTTTATTCGTTGTTTTGTTTTGTTTTGCTGTTGTTGTTGTTGTTGTTTTTTTATCAGCTGCTTTTATCATAGTTCTGCCTATACTCAGAAATCAAATATTATAACAAGCTTGATCTGTAATTTTTTTGACATCTGAGCTTTAATTATAAAACCCTAGAGTTTATTTGTCAATCTTTAGTCCATTTTGTCTATTATGGTGAGGTTACATTTTACCTAGAAGAAAAATTAAAAATAATCTGTCACGTCACATTCGTTATGATCTTTATACTGTTACTTTAATTCAGATCAATTATTTCGTAAGTGAAAACGCTGTTCTGTCCTATGTCACGAAAACGCCGTGATCGAAGATGCTGAGTTAGATCTCGGCCACTTCTTACGTCAATGCTATCATGTGATGAATAAAAAAGAACCTTGGAGGCAACAAATATTTTCCCTAAAGATTCTCATTTGACAGCAAATTTTTACCAATTTAACCCTTGATTATCGATAGACACCTGTAAGTCAGCAATATTCAACAGGTAGTACAGTATATTGTTTTAATCGTTCTCGTTTTAGTATTCCGACTTTTGTGATTTTATTCGTACTTCAGGTATCAGTCATGAAAAAACAAAGATGTAACGAGCTTGATAGATTGTATTTAAAAATCGTTGGAAAAGCAGAGATAGTACTGAAAAGTGATTCAAAAGACAATTACCGTATTTATTCGCTTAACCGCCCTGGGCGCTTATTAAATTTTTGGACTTTGAGAGTGGGCGCTTATTCGAGGTGGCGCTTCTTCGAAGCTGGGCGCTTATTAAATTTTCAGCATTTTCAGGAAGTGTAGTATGTTTATTTTACAACAAAACAATAAATGGTAATAACAAAACTCGAAGATGTAACAAGGCAAGGTTCCTGTAAAATACTCTGAAGAAAACTCCGTCTTCGGGGAAGTCTCTTATTAGTACTTATTCAATTTTGGGGGTGGGGGTGGGGTGGGGGTGGTGGCTTATTTGAGTTTGAGTGGCAGTGGGAGGGAGGTGGGGTGGGCGCTTATTCGAGGCTGGGCGCTAATTCGAGGTTGGGCGCTTATTCGAATAAATACGGTATTTCATTGTGGTAAGAGAGGTTTTCATTTAGTAAGCATTTGTTAAACTTAATTTACTGCCACTTAACAGTAGATTTGAAGATATATTTTTTTGAACTAATAGTTTTCTAAACAAATCACGGAAGTGTAAATTCAAGGGTCAATTTTTCCATGCCCGACATTAAGAGAAAGGAAGTTGTTTGCGATCGCGGTAGTCAGTTTACAATATTAACCATTTATCCCCGCCAATTCATATCCCGTTTTGTTCAAACAGAATGACTGTATTAATATTCAGTATAAGTTAACCTTAGTGATCGCCTTTTGAATAGAAAATGCCGTGGTCAAACTCTTACAAAGTGCATATGCATTGACCCAAAAAGATAAGCGAATTCACTTACTCGATCGCCCCCCTCCTACTTCCATCGATTTCAAAATTTCCTTGATTTCCCCTTAAAGGTGGTTTTGAATTACCATAAGCAACCAAAAGACGGGAATGCTTTCCTTAAGCAAATATAACTGCGTACACAAATGCAATATATCCCATTTCGTGTTATATTCAGTCGATACAAAAATTCTCCCATTTGCCTATCACTTCTCTAAATTTGAAGCGGTGATTTCACCAATTAGCCAAACATAACAGCCGTATAAATATCGCTCAATAGCCGTGAGAATCATAAGGTACATTCAGTTCATGCAATACTTAGAAACTCGACGACAGTATAATTTGCCATATTTTTTCACACCCCTAGCAACCAAGGTAAGGAAATTTTTACGTATGGTTTCAACTTCATGTTCCTAGAATTCTTAACATGTTTGGACGTAACTTATGTGTAACAGAAAATACTTCTGATTAGCAAAACAAATCAGAAAAATACACTGATGTCAAAACTAGTAGGCTCCAGTGGTTTGGACAAGCAGTTTATGTATTCTATAACACCTTGCTGCAGCCTTGCTGCTCAAAGATAGGTAAACTAACCTAAGGTAAATGCGAAATTTACCTGAATATCAATTGTGACAGCCAAAAGGCAAATTCTGTTTATTTTTTTGGTCTACAATTTGATGAGGAGATGGTCTAGTAAAAATAGAGAAAAATTTCCGAAAAAAATACTTTTGAAAAAAAGAAAGAGAAACCCGGATTACTTGTTTTAAAAGTCGAAAACTATATTTTGCTGTCAAATTTATGACGTAATTTTTCAGCCAAAAACTGTTAAAGTCGAAAATCCAAAAACATACCATTGTTGGGAATACCGAGGGATATTTTCCTGCAAAGTTTTAGCTCAAGCGGATGTAAAAATTGCAAAACTTAGTATGAACTGGAAACCAATTTTTGCTTGCAGCCGACGCGGCGTGGTAGACTGAATTGCCACATATTTAAATCAGACTTCTACTGAGACCTATAAAGAAACACACAGAAACGATCGATCAAAAGATTAGCGATCAGGCTCAGTATTTTCTCCATTGATCACCTGGCTAATTGATTGGCTGATTGGGTTTGTCAGAATGATGAATGGCGGACTGATTGGTTGATTGATCGATCGATTAATTGATAGGTCGACGATTTTACTTTGAACTTGACTTAAAGGGCGTATGTCGCTATTTGCTATGTTTTGAAAAAGCTGAAACTTTTTTCGCATTCGTTGAATTGCAAAAATAACGACCCAGTTTTGGAATATCCTTGAAACGGAGAACGGGGAATTGAAGAATCGGGTAATTGGAATGGGGAGCGGGGAAGGGAAATCTTTAAAATGGCGGAATTTTTGAAAGAGGGAATCTTTAATACGGAGAATCTTTAAAAGCAGGAACAAATCTTTAAAACGGGGTCAATCTTTAAAAGCGGAAATCTTTAAAACGGGGAATCTTTAAAAGCGAGAATCTTTAAAATGAGGAATCTTTAAAAGCGGAAATCTATAAAACAGGGAAGATTCCCGCTTTTAAAGATTCCTCGTTTTAAAAATTTCCGCTTTTATAAATTCTCCGTTTTAAAGATTCCCGCTTTTAAAGATTGCCCAGTTTAAAAATTCCCGCGTTTTAAAGATTCCCCATTTTAAAGATTACGGCTTTTAAAGACTCCCCATTCCCCGTTCCCCTTTCCTTTTCCACGATTCACGATTCCCCTTTCCTCGTTTTTAAAGATAGCCCCTAGTTTTGTTATTCAAGACTACAATTTAGACATTGAAACTGTTTCCTGTCGTCTGTTGCAAAGGATGTCAAGGATGGACAAGGATTGAAACTTTAAAACGATGAGCCAACTTTTTCAAGTTGTAATGCTATGCCCGTAAAAATCAACAAAAAATTATTATGGTTAGTGCTTCCTGATGAAATTTGTTTGATATCTGCTCTTTGGAAAATCCAGCTTATTAATGCTGCGTTCTTATTGGTTGAGATATTACTACGCTGTATGTTATAGTGCACTAGTAGCGAAAAGCGCCGGCTTTTTGGCGGCAAAAAAGAACTAGCTAAAGTTGTTTTGTCTCGATATTTTTGACCAACTAGTTGGATTTTACTAAAACAATTATTCCTCTCGCCCTCATGGCCTCTGAGTCATTAGCCCATGAGGCCAAAGGTCCATTCTGGCTCGAGGAATAATTGTTAAATACCTCTACAGAAGCATTTTGTGTACGGATAAGAGCACTAAGTAATGACTTCAGCACAGAAAAGAACCAAAAAAAGGTTGATTGATTAATTGATTGATTTGTTGCCTGCTGCAATTGCCTTTAGTTACTCATCAACGAAGTATTTTTTGATTCATTACTGACTTGCTGATCATTGGTCGTTTGTGTCCCTTTACAGAAAAAATGAATCTCAAAGCATTCGCCATTGTGCTTTTGACAACAGTTCTTCTCTGCCAAAACACCCACTCAGCGACTTTGAGAAGTCGTAAGTCCATTGTCGGCCTTGCAGCTGTGGGGTCGATACAAGGTGGTCAAACCTTGTCAACCGTTCAGGTTCTTGATGAGTGGTGTACAAACCTGACGACACATCTCAACACAACTTTGGAAAAGTTTGTAAGTGAACTATATATAGAGAATACTTTATAGAAATTGCGGGCGTACACTATTTACGCACGAGTTGTTGACGAATCAGAAATCGAACGAGTGAGCGCAGCGAACAAGTGAGATTTCTACTACATAAACAACGAGGCACTTTCCATGTGGTATTGTGTTTATTATATACATACTGAGACATTCATCATCTTGGCGGCCTCTTTACTTCAAATCTTTCCAAAATGCTAAATTTTGCCACTAGTACACACCGTGAAATGACAACGAAATCGAAGTATCAGCTATGTATTAGTAAAATCGTTGGTTAAAATATTATGAGGGTAAGGATATGAGGTAATCCAAGAACTACAAGGGCGCTTTCCATTCAACAAAAATTCCGGTTGGAAATTTCGGAAATTTCTTGTGTCCAATGGAACGGTATTTCCGGTTGCTCAAACCAGACCCAAGCCATGGCGCGTTTGGTTATTGTCAGTTGTAAGCAGGATACCAAAGAAGAGTACTGGGGACAACAATTTTGTCAAATGGAAAGGGACGTTCGGTCCGACCGACGGAAACGATCAGACCGGTCAAAGTAGACCACCTTCAAAGCTGGTCCCTAATATTCTGGTCGAACCGAACCAAAATGGTCCGTTCCGTTTGATGAACCAACCGAAGTTTCCGGAATTTTGGATTGAATGGAAAGCGCCCCAAGTAATCTTAACTGTTTAACCTGAATGTACCCTTGAAAACAGATAAATTTAAGCTTAAGCTTACGTATCGTTCTGTTTTTCCCTTCTGCTATTGTCTAGCCGGCTCTCTACAGTTTTCTTCATCGACAGTGAAACAAACTTCTGAACAAACTCCAATTTCCGAGATGTTTTTCCCTTTTTTCACGAGAAAAACTCTCCGAGGAAAATGTCTGCGAAGCGGCGCTGCAAGCTGCAAGCGCCTATAAAGGGGGGATTTTTGGCGCGAAACTCACACACCTTTGTCGCCTGTGATTGGACGTATCACTTTTTTTCACTCGTGAAAACCATCGTTCGCTCCTCTGATTGGCTAGAACTCATTTGCGTATGAAAATTTACGACATAGATTTTTGGTGAGTATTTCTCAGTATGTACATAATAAATAAACAAGTACAAAAACTTGGATAGTTCTATTTTGAGGGCAAGATTTAAGAAAATTTACACCAGCTATGAGCTATAGCCTATAGCTAGTAGCTCATGTAAATTTTCTTCTTGCCTCAAAATGTAACTATCGTCAAGTTTTACCATTTGCAGGGCCGTACCTAGGATTTTTTGTCTGCGGGGGCAAACTCGGTTTTCGTGAGATTTCGGACCAATATAGCTACAAGAAACAGCCCAGCAAAATCAGACACTATGTTAGAAAAAAAACATTTAGTTTTATCGTCAAGTTTTACCATTTGATCGGATCATCAGTTCAAAAGACAGGCCAAGATCGTGTACTTGCAGGCTATCAGATGTTTGCGGAAAATCTAATATATTTTTCTTCTCTTTTGCTCAGTACTAAATTTTGTTTTGGATTGCTGTGGGATACTTTCGCTAGTCTCCGATCGCTAACTTACTGTGTACTGTATTTTTTATCCCAGGCATCTATCCCTTTCAACAAATCAATGGGAAGCTCCTACATTTCAGCCTCTTCAGGAGTGACGGTGAGTGCAGTGCTTTAAGACAATGAAAGATACCTTCAAAGTTGCTAAGTAAAACAGTGAAAGCGACGGTTAACGCACCTTATAACTTTGACAGAAGATAGATCCATGAAACGCACCAATCACATTTAGAGTCTTCAGTCACAACCAATAACATCACGGCTTACTTGTCAGACGACCAATAACATCGCAAATTAATTGACCAAAGCGGTCAATAACCAGAGATTAATTCCATCAAATGACGTGATACAACTCACTTTGAATCTGAAGATGACTACTGCACAGGTTGTCCAAAACGCCAGTCATGATCTCTTTTAACAACAGTCCTATTCAGGACTTTACTCGACCGAGCGATCACATTCCACCTATACTTACGAAGGTATAGTAGTATAGTAGAGATTACTGATCATGGATCTTTATTCTCCCTCAGGTATTGCAGAGGTTGACTTTTGACTTGAATCATATCAAAATCTACTCTTTATTGTTTAGTCAAATTCCAAGTGTCATGACAGGTCCACAGTCTGATCTGTGCTTGAAGGATGGTGTTCGCCTCTTGTCAGTTCTCATTATTGGTATGGATATGGCGGTAAGTAATTCATATCTCACAGCTTAAACTTCAGTTAAGAACTCCTTCAATGCCAGTGT